TACAAATCTAATAGTAATTAATTAACAAGACACACCCTGGGTCATGATCAACCCCAGCGGGGCCTTCCTACGGGGAGAATGTCTAGTGATAATGGCCGAAACACTTGATGACCCCAAGGTCCACTACTGAAGATATGTCTTACAATAAGATAGTCAATTTATAAAAAGAAAACAGCCAGCTAATCAGGAAAAGCCATAGTCCAGTAAGACACCCCATTCCACCCCATCCCTTCCCTCAGCCCTTTCCCTTACCCTGAAGGTAAGTATAAGGATGACCCCCAATAGTTCCCCTGCCACAGCCCTAATCCCCACCCATTGATCATACCAAGGAAATCACCCTTGAGGTAAGTTGGCACCACTAGTGACATTCAGGCACTAGTGGGGCCCTCAGATGAGCACGCCAGTACAAAGGCACTGGTGGAGGTGTGTCAGGCAGCAATGCCCAGCAGGCAGACCACCAGCCTGTATTTTCATATGTTTGTAGAAAGAGATGTCTACAAATGATCAGGGCACACTTCTCCATCTCAGGGGATTTATTGTATTAAAGGTTTCTGACAACGGCAGGTCCAACAACAAATCTCATCTGAACATTCACCAACAAATCCCACCTTCTGATACAATCGTTCTTATAGGCATAAACAAACATGGTGTTACATAACATTTGGCTCATATTTGGCTTGTAACTGGATAAACATGTTCATTCACCCAGGTCATTTTGACCTGTTCTTGCCTGTGCCTGTGCCCGTCTCCAGTCTCCCTGTTATTCCTGGGTCTTTCTGTTATTCCCACATGAGTTTGGCCTGTTTTTGCCTGTTATTCTGAGTTGGCCCTTACATATTATTTTACCATATTTCTCCACCACAACACACATACACATCCTCTGCTTTCAAACTTCCATAAAGCTGCTCCTCCTCCCCTCCCCTCCCCTCTCCATCCATGCCCACCTCCACCCTCTTTAAAGGATTCGGGCCCCGTGTAACCTGATACCTGTCAGCTGATAATGGCATTTATTCCCAGCTTCTGTCCTGCTCTACTGAAACCTTCATATATACGCTTGACACACAAAGTATCACAATACTTGATGTGGTTTTTATAATAGTTTATAACATAAAACACTTTTATGGCCTCCGTAAACTCTAACTGTAGAGTACATTTAATTTAGACTAGAAGACATCATCACTAAAAGACTAATGATGTCGAGATGTTGCTGTTGCTCCTCACTAACAGATCTCTTTGAACCTCCCAGCTGCACTTCTATGGTTTTCAACATTGTTTGTGAAACCCTCTCACTCATATTGGTTATATACATGGAATTCTTCTTCTTTTCCTTTTGGCCATTTTTCAGGGGTTGCCACAGCAAATTATCATTTCCCATTTCTCCCTGTTCTCTGCATCTTCTACTCTGGCTCCAACTATCTGCATGTCCTCCCTCACTGCATCCATAAATCTCTTTGACCTTCCTCTTTGTCTCCTAACTGGTAGCTCCATATCTAGCATTCTTCTACCAATGTATCCACTATCTCTCCTCTGCACATGTCCAAACCATCAAAATCTTCCTGTCTGTGTTGTCCCTCTAATGACTTCATTTTTTATCCATCTGTCCATCCTTGTCACTTCTAAAGAGAATCTTAGCATCTTTAACCCTGTCACCTCCAGCTCTGCCTCCTGTTTTCTGCCTAATGCTACTGTCTCTAAACCATACATCATGGCTGGTCTCACCACCGTCCTGTAAACCGTTCCCTTCACCTTAGCTGACACTTCTATCACAGATCACTCCTGACACTTTTCTCCAGCTGTTCCATCCTGCCTGCACTCTATTCTTCACCTCTAAATAAGTATCTAAATACCTGCACCTTCACCACCTCTGCTCCTTGTAACCTCACTGTTTCACTGTTATCCCTTTCGTTTACACACGTGTACTCTGTCTTGCTACGACTGACCTTCATTCCTCTTCTTTCTAGTGCAAACCTCCACCTCTCTAGATTCTCTTATCGCTGCTGCCTACTCTCACTACAGATCACAATGTCATTCACAAACAACATAGTCCATGGGGACTCCTGTCTGACCTCATCTGTCAATCTGTCCATCACCACAGCAAACAAGAAAGGGCTCAGGGCCGATCCTTGATGTAGTCCCACCTCCACCTTTAAGTCTTCTGTCCTTCCAACACCACACCTCACCACTGTTGTACTATTCTCATACATTTCCTGCACCAAACTAACATACTTCTCTGCCACTCTTGACTTTCTCATACAAAACCACTCTTTCTAGGTATGAAACAATACTGTTGTTCACATATCTCCACTTCCTGTCTCAACCTGGCTTCAAGCTTCAAGCAACATCCTTCCCAGCTCAATTTCTCTGTCTCACCAATCTATACAACTCCTTTTCTCCTTCCTTTATTTCCAAACTCTCATACAACTCCTCATATGTCTTTTGTGGCCATGTCCCTCTTTACTTCCCTTGCCCTCTCTTTGTATTCCAGTCTGTTCTCTTCTGTTCTCTCAGTGTCCCATCTCTTCCTCACTAATCTCTTTCTCTGCACACTCTCCTGGACCAACAGTAGCCCAATTTCCATCAGTACCCTGTAGGTCAACAGCACTGTTTGAGGTCGTTTTTAACTTGGACCCCAATCGATCCAGTATGGAAACAGTTTAAATTCACATTATTTGGCAAAGGTTTTACACCGGATGCCCTTCCTGGCGCAACCCTCACCATTTATCCGGGCTTGGGACCGGCACTATAAAACACTGGTTTGTGTACCCTAGTGGCTGGTGAATATACATGGAATTATTGCCTTAAATTACCTCCATTATAGAGACTTCTAGGAGGATCATTTTATTTATTATTATTTGTAAAAACTGTTAAGGTCATTGAAGTAAAGGCAAAAATGGTTCTCTGATTTTGGGCTGTACAAATAAAATTCACTACCTTAAATTGAGTTTTATTCGTTTGAATGGTAAGCTCTGTCTTTTGAAGTAATTCAGGAGTTGAATGTAGAGCTACATGCTCTTTATACAGTACACTGTGATACAGTGGAACATGTCCTCTTTCAGGTGTTGGTGCTGTCACTCATGACTGTGGAGCTGTTTGGATTCATGGGGCTGATGGGAATAAAGCTCAGTGCTGTCCCTGTAGTGATCCTCATCGCCTCAGTGGGCATTGGAGTGGAGTTTACCGTTCATGTGGCCTTGGTACGTAAAACATACCAATGCCAAAAATCTGCAATGTTTTCTTCTTTTTTTATCATACACAGCGGTTTAATCAAAGGGTTACCAAAATACTAATTTTATTATTTCATGCTGAAGTTTTTTTTTACATTTATTTTGCCCTTGATACAGAGACATAGTTGTATTTTTGTATGCTCTGCAGGGTTTTCTAACCGCCATAGGGGATCGTCACAAGCGGGCAGTGCTGGCACTAGAGTACATGTTCGCACCAGTGCTGGATGGAGCCTTCTCTACCTTATTAGGAGTGTTGATGCTGGCTGGGTCTGAGTTTGACTTTATCGTCAGGTAAAAACCTTACAGTTAAACAGTCACTGCAAAGCAGACGGCTGTCATATGTTCTTGTGTTGATTCTCTTTGTCATGTAGGAATCCTGGAGCAGGAGATAAGTTTTCTTGATTTTTTTTTTCACACACATCTTTGTTACCTTCTTTCAGTTGATTTGTTTTCTTTAACTTTGTTGATATAATAGTTTTTCTGTCAACTTTTAGTGATTTGTCCCTGACATGTTTTTTTCTTTAAAAAAGGCTTATAACTTTCACCACCCCTCTTTGTCCTTGTGTCTTTCTTTCAACCACTTCTCCCATCCCCTCAATTTCCCTTATGCCTGACATTTAAGTGGAAACCATGCAAAGTATGGAGAGTTAAAGGTCAGGAGGGTGAGAAGGACTGGGAGAATGAAGACAAAAAAGGCTGAGGGTGGGGCAAAGACAGCTTAAAATGAGAAGATGAAGAAAAAGACGAACGAGAATCTCATTGTTCTAGTTTATATCTTCAGAAGACATTTATAAGCAAAGGAAGGAGTAACTGGGTGGGAGGGGGCACTTGTGGAAAGATAGAAGAAATTGATGGCAACACACAGTGGAGGCTCTGTGTCTAGAGGATACATACACACACATAGGGAGAGCTACACACAACCTGCTCCTTGACCTTGTAATCATGGGGGTCAACGATGTTGTGCCTGCCAGTTGGAGCACACTCATATACAGTACATGCTCAAAGCAAACACATACAAACACGCACATACTCACATACAAACACACACGTATACGCAGGGAGGCATACACAGTGTCTCTCTTCACCTACAGTCGTGGGCCTCCATTTAAAGGTTTTTGCTGTTGTTTAAACAAAGAAAGCAGCCCCCAAGATGGAGCAATAACAACAGGCCCTGCTCGTATTTTTCTGCTTGTGCTGAAAGAAATGTTTCCCTGACGTTATTCCCACCAGCACTGTGAATGTTTTCACTCTTAACAGCCTGGTGGGACTCCAGCCCTGCTATGTGGGCCACATGTTCAGATTTGTGCATATTTAATGTGTCCAAAAGTGATTTGGCATCCCGATGCAGATCGCTAGGTTAATCACAGTGGAAATGTTTTTGCTGTGCAATGCTACTCTGCAATCTACAATCTATAATAATTGTTTTGCCTACTCTTTAATATAATCATCCCTATACGCCTATAAACAAAAAGCTGAACATGACTACTAAGAGAATAAAGCTCTGTTCTTGGGTCACATCACTGTTCCAGCAACAAATCATTGGTAAATTATTGGTAGTTCCAGGTACATATCTTTGGGATAACTTTTCAGTGCATCTCTCTGATTCAAGTATTTCACTAATTTCCCATCTTTTTTTTTTGTGGCTAATTTTTTTTGTGTTTTTACAAAACAAAATAGGTAACTTTTCACTCGTTAGCTGCCATGTAGTATCTACCATTTGAAGTTAGACTGTATATTCCAAACCACTGCTCTTTCTATTATTTTCTAATAATAGAAATTGAAGTGCATAATATCAAAATAATAATTATAGTTGAATTATATATGTGATTATGACATTATATATTATGTACTTCATTGTGTTTTTTTATCTCCTCCTTGAACCGCAACCTTAACATGGTGGAGGGGTTCGAGTATCCAAATGAACCTAGGAGCTATGTTGTCGGGGGCTTAATGCCCCTGGTAAGGTCTCCCAAGGCAAACAGGTCCTAGACGACGGATCAGACAAATAGCGGTTCAAACCCCCCAATGATCGACTTTGTAGTTGTGTCATCTGACATCCGGCCGTATGTATTGGACACTAGGGTGAAGAGAGGGGCTGAGCTGTCAACTGATCACCACCTGGTGGTGAGTTCGCTCCGCTTACGGGGCACTAAGCTAGATAGACCTGGCAGACCAAAACGTATCGTGAGGGTCTGTTAGGAACGTCTGGTGGAATCCCCGGTG